GGTGGCCGCCCAATGCCCCTAAAGTTCGCTCATTCCTCACGCCTCGGAGACAAACCATCATCACTCACATTATAGGTCTTAAGGCGGGGGTCGCGAGCCCTATGGTTTGATTTTGAATTGCACGATGGATTAATTTTGAACTGTATGATGGCTTGGTTTTAAACTGCAGGGTTGTTTGATTTTGAATTGAAGTATAGTTTGATATTGAGTTACACGATGGATTAATTTTTAACTACAGGACTGTTTGATTTTGAATTGCAGGATAGTTTGATATTGAATTGCACGATGGATTAATTTTTAACTGTATGATGACTTGGATTTTAACTGCAGGACGGATAGTTTGATATTAAATTGAAGGATAGTTTGATATTAAATTGCATGTTGGATTAATTTTTACTGAACGATGGCTAGGTTTTCAACTGTAGGGTGGTTTGATTTTGAATTGCACGATGGAGTAATTTTTAACTGCGCGATGGCTTGGTTTTTAACTGCAGGATGGTTTAATTTTAAATTGCGCGATAGTTTGATTTTGACTTTCACGATGGATCAATTTTTAACTGTATGATGGCTTGGTTTTTTAAACTGCAGGATGGTTTGATTTTGTATTGCAAGAAAGGCTTGATTTTTAATTGTCGATTTTCGATTATTGGTGCCAATGTTTTGCTACAGGAAACCGAATTTCGTTTATTGTCTAATTGACAAGGCGCAAGCCTGGAGACTTGCGAGGATGGGTTCGATTTATTAATCGAGATTATGGTTATTTTTTGCGTCGGGCTTGATTTGGTCTCCTAAATTTAACGGATTTGATGCCTAGAGAAACAAAACTTCAGAGTTTCGATTAGTCTTTCACTTGATTCCCGTTTTGCGTTTGTCACAATAATTACTGTTTTAGTCCTTGACGTAAGGGAATTTTATCTAAATGTATTGCAAAAGATCTCGACAAATATTTAAAAGTGCATTATCGGTAAATTATCAAATAAAATTTACCCACTCCTGCAATTCACATGCAAGGGCGCCAGCGATCTAAAATCCGCATCTTTTCTTTGAAGCTCGTGCCATCTGCATTAAGGCGGTGACTTTACAATTTCCCCTAAAGTTCCCCCAGGACTTCCTCTTTAAGTCAGACCGCCTTCGGGCATCGCATTTCCCCCGAAATGTGACAAAATTACCCGGAATTACCTATTACCACCGCCGACGGCCCTCGCTTAACACGGCAAAAACTACGGAGTAAACTAGAAAATGAGGGGAGCCATTGTACAAGAGGGGAGAAAACGTGCAGACACTACGCAACTTGCAACTATGATTCTCTTCTCCATTTTTAGCGTTCGCACTAAATTAAATAATTACAATCAGACCATATTGTCCCTTTGCTACTGACAACTTTCATTCATGAACGGAATCATTTGCGCTGTTGAGATATATGCTACATTTTTGGGTGAGTGTGACCAAATAATTTTTAGCATTCGCAATCGTAGGTCATAAAAATTGCGAGTCACTTGGGGGACATCCAATTTTGCTGCAACGCAAGCACTATTTTTTCGTATCACAACTGTATTTCAAAAATATTATTGTTATTTAGGTTTTTAATAATTGTTTTTTACTACAATGTAAATTAAACGTGAAAAATAAATTAATTATAATAAGTTCATTCACAAATGAAAAAGCATCTAAAAGAACAATTTAAAACTACTATATCAGAACAGAATTAAATACCTCCTTTCCACTCATTATTTCCCCATTAAAGCTGTCTGGGCGCGAGGAATATAGCGAAAGCTGAAAGAAATCGTTCGCTCTTCATTTGTATCTGATTTCAATTGGAAGCAACAATTGCAGCTTGGAAATAGATACAAATTACTAGGCTCTCTCAACGTCGCATCTCAACGGATGTATCTCGATCAGGCTTAATTTATTCTGATGTAAAAGCACTGTTCTTCCTCATTTATGCTGATATGGGCGGCTCTGGAAATAATTCATTTAAATTTTTCTAAATCTGTTTGTAATAGAAATAGAATTGTTGCGAGCTTGCATTTAATACCAAAATCGTTAGTGTACTAAATTACAAGTATAATATATACTGGAGTAGAGAATGAAAATAAATAAATAATTTACTAGTATAATAATTTATTGTGGAGTGGAATGCGAGATTATAGCACTTTATTACCGCGGCCAGTAAAAGTGCTTTCATTGCTATTAATGTCCTCTAATATCGTGATAATTATAGCTTTATCACCTTAATATAAAATAAATATCCCTAGAACCAATTTAAATTCCCATGATACCATTATGCAGCTTGACGCATAATGAATGTTAAAAACATCTATTCTGTTTTGAAGTGAACAGATTCTGAGTTCCTCCTTTTCATATTCTTAATATAAATCAACACAGACTAAAAAGGTTTTTAATGCAGATTCTTTATACCTGTACTTTTAAATCATTATTACTAAAAATGTGGATGGTTTCATACATGATGTTGAATACACATAAGGGCAACAGGCTAGAGCAGCACACTAAAGATGTCACGGCTAGAGGCCTGCACAGCTAAGCGCCTAAGACGTAACGGACAAACGACTACAGTAGAGCAGCAAACACTGTCCTCGGTATAAATTAATTCCTTTCAAAGACGACAGACCTCAATATCATCCCAGTGATGTCAGAAGCAACCACGGTTGCAGAATATCCTTCGTTTAAAGACACCCTGTACAAAAAAGGAGTCCGGATTATCTAGATTCTAGAATCTGTGTCAGACCTCAATATCATCCTAGTGATGTCAGAAGCAATCTCGCTTGCAGAATATCCTTCGTTTAAAGGCACGCTTTACAAAAAGAAAGAGTCCGGATCATCTAGAATCTGTTCTTTGCCCTGCAGCAGAACCCTCAGCTGCTCGATGCTGTTGCTTCAAAGAAGACAAAAGCATTTGCCTGTAGGAAGGAGCGTGCCTTGGCCCGTGTTGCCACGGAACCCGGGGACGCGGGTATTTTTGAGACGCTATTTGCTCTTGCACTTCTTGAAAGACGGATGGCACTTAATGAAACTTGAGCCTGAGCGTCAAAACAAGCCTGGGGGGACGAGAGCGAGGCGTCGACACCGCTTCAAGACAGACAAATGGGGCCATTTGTGCCTCGGAATCTCAGGTATTTGGATGAAAACAAAAGACATCGGGATCTGCTCGCCCTAATCGCAATTCTTTTTGGGGGAACTAACTAACGAGCAGGCTCTGCTGAACGTTTTTGTTTGTCGGCTACGGGTGCACTTGGCGAAACTACATAACTTTTAGCAGAAGGAACATTGTTTGAGTACATTGTGGGAGATAAAATATCAATGTGTTAACTTGTATAAACAAAAAATAAATTGACACTCAGCCATTTTAACTGAATAACTTTTAAATAAATCAAGTTTTTAAGCAAAATTCTTCGACACTCAGCAGTTTTCAATAAATCTACTTTCAATTTTACACCAAGAATCAAATATCGCCTTACAATATTCGCACCCTGAATCTAACGAATGGATTCAAGCTGATGGACGAATACATTTTACCACAATGGAAAATATTTGTGCTTGGTGTGCAACGAGCCGTTACCTCACTCGCTGGTGATTCAATCAGTCTGGCTGCCGATTTTTTTATTCAAAATTTGAAAGCTATAAAACTACCTCCAGCTGCCTGAGAGCTGCAATGCATGGAGTGTTTCAAACCGATGGATTTCGGTTATCAACAGTCGAGGAAGAGAGATCTATCTTGTGGAATATTCTACAGGAGTTCGAGTTCGCCTTTCATGGAAACAATCGCGTCATGATCTTGCGTGAGTGAAACATTTGTTTACCGCAGAAAAAATATCATTAAATTGAGGCCAACAAATGTTCGGACTTCTGATAAGACGCTAATACTTTCTTGATGTCTGCTTGTCACGACGCTGTGCCTGCAGATGAGAACCCTGCCGTATATATAAGTAGCAAGACTGCCTGTGTGGTAAGAAACGCAGGCTGGAGCGTAATGCTGCCGCTGCACGAACGATGAGCTTAGCGTGATATATGCTGGAATATTATTGAGCGTTCAATGCAACAAATCCTAAAAGAAATATACTATAAAAGAGAATTTGTGTAGAAGAAGAATTCTTGAATTCTTCTTGAAGATCTCTTCATCAAGAATTCAATGGAAATATTCCATCATTAGAAACCATGTAGCCACACATCTGACCTGAGGTCAGCCACAATTTAACAGGATTAATCATGTTAAATTTGCTTGTTGTATCTGCAGATAAAATCTTTACCTACCATGAGTAAGAGGACCGTTGGCGATTGAATTTTACTGTTAAATCATTATTTGAAGTAATGATCGACTGAGACTTTGGTTAAAAAATAACTAATTTAAGTTATATCTTTTAAGAGATAAGGTAAACTTAAAAGGCCAAAATTCTTTCAAAAAACAGAATGCCTATAGCTGAGCCAGGCATCTTTGGGCTTTGGAAATCTAATTCGTCCAACAAAGTTTTATTTTTGGCATTTCTTTAAATCTCTAAAATTCAATGTAAAATGTTATATCAACGAAAATAACGTATTCTTCGGAAATAGCATAAAATGCGATCATGTTAGGAATAGAAACACAAATACCTATAAACAACATAAATAAAGCGTAAACTTTTAAACTTCATCTTTATCACTAAATTGATGAGGCTTCTATCATTTCTCGGATTGATTCTTCCAAGCACTTGTCCGGTTTTCAAAACACGTAGAAACATTATTATCGATATTCTTATTCTCTCAGCGCAATAATTTTTGACTCTTGAGGAGTGAAAAGACTCTTGATAGTTTCTGCAGCACAAACTTCACTTCACGGGTCGTTTTTTCCCCGATATTTTCTTGTTTTCATATGCAAAATATTAAACTTTCCTTCGTATTTATTTAGAACTCCTTTTATTTCTGCCAATAAAATTATTTTGAACTTTCTCTTCTCGAATTGTTGCTCGGTCAGCGTGAATGCTGAGGCCGTAGGTCTGGGATTCTCGTCACGCTGATCTCATGAAAGACGTTTTGGCTGAGACGGGTGAGCCAGGCAGAGACGGGTGAGCCGGGTAGAGACGGGTGAGCCGGGCAGAGACGGGTGAGCCGGGCAGAGACGGGTGAGCCGGGCAGAGACGGTTGAACCGGGCGGAAACGGGTGAGGCGGGCAGAGACGGTTGAGCCGGGCAGAGACGGGTGAGCCGGGCAGAGGCAGGTGAGGCGGGCAGAGACGGGTGAGCCGGGCAGAGACTGGTGAACCGTCCAGAGACGGGTGAGGCGGGCAGAGACGGGGGAGCCGGGCAAAGACGGTTGTGGCGGGCAGAGACGGGTGAGCCGGGCAAAGACGAGTGAGGCGGGCAGAGACGGGTAGCCGGGCAGAGACGGATGAGCATGGCAGAGACGGGTGAGCCGGGCAGAGAAGGGTGAGCCGGGCAGAGTCGGGTGAGCCGGGCAGAGACGAGTGAGGCGGCAGAGATGGGTTAGCCGGGCAGAGATGGATGAGCCTGGCAGAGACGGGTGAGCCGGGCAGAAAAGGATGAGCCGGGCAGAGACGGGTAAGCCGGGCAGAGACGGTTGAGCCGGGCAGAGACAGGTGAGCCGGGCAGAGAAGGGTGAGCCGGGCAGAGAAGGGTGAGCCGGGCAGAGAAAGGTGAGCCGGGCAGAGAAGGGTGAGCCGGGCAGAGACGGGTGAGTGGGGCAGAGACGGGTGAGGCGAGCAGCCAAAGCCTCCTAGAAACTGACGCTTTAGGTTTCGGTTTTCCAAAAGCTGCTGTAGTCTCACAGAATTTGGCAGTATTAACACATGTATTATGGGAGAAAATATATGCTAAATTGTATTTAATTTCGAAGTTTTATTGACGGCAGATGTTAAAAATCGAGGCAGAATATTGGAGAAGATCCCTTGAAAATAATCGTATTTATACCATACAGGATGTGCAAGTTATAGTGTGCTTGAAGCCTGTCCCTGCAAATTTGTTCTCAGTGGGTGAACAGTAAAGGCATTACGAAACTGGGGAGAGATTATTAGATTAAAAATCTAAATTCATTTTTAAAATTTTTGTCCATGAATTTGATCTAGAAGACGCCAAATATTTTTTTAGAGAAAAACTCAAAATTTGAACAGGAATCAAACAGGAAATCGTTTAAATCATAGGTTTGAATGGGTTTTATTGCTAGCCAAAATTAATTTCATTCATACCCATTAAAGCCGAGAATTATTTGGGGGATAATTTAATATTTTTTCCAGTTTGAATACTTCATTTAGTCATTGTTAATCTATTTACTATTAAAACATTCATTTTACCAAAATTGCAGATGAATGCTAAAATATGGCCTGGCAACTAAAGTTGCCATTCGGCAGTAAGATAACATATATGAACTTCTATGTAATGTATGGTAATCATATTGACTAGGGCCAATAAAACTAAATTTGCTATAGGTAAATTGAAATAATGAAACAAATATTTTGGAACGATAAATGATTTATCCATTCAGTATTTAAATCATTGATAAATTCATGAGAAAATGGGTCAATAACATTTATAATGGTAAACATCATCGATAACCAATGCTGCATAGAAGAATAAACATCGTATGGATAACTTTCATGCAACGTGGGTGATGAGCAATGGTGCATAATTTGCATTTGCACACAGTCCTTCCTTTGCTGTGTGACATTCTGCATATTTTGTTTCTCCTTTCACTATCAAGTAGTTTGTTGTAGTTATCAGGACAATATTCTAAGCGGGTCCACATCATGCAAATTTAGAACCGCTTTACTTCCTGGCTGGGCTGAGTCTCTATGGTTCCAATAACAACATCTCTGATGAATTTCCATCACTGAATATTGTTACCGCATGTATTGAAGTGTTTCCAAGCATTTACAGCTTGGGCACTAACTATGGTGGTAGCCCAGAAAAGGGACCACCGCAATTTTTTGGAGTAAATTTTGGATCCGATAAGTTTCTAATTGTTGGTGAAACAAATCATACTAGTAGAGCCTTCTATGAGGCAGTTTAGTTTATCAAGAGAGAAGCAATACGGGCAGCAATACTCCCATGCTAGCAAAACTGATCTCATTACGCTGCAGATTTTGTTGCTGAGCATATAATTTGCTCTGTTCACATAAATGGTATATCCATTAGTTAGTACAAAAGTAATTCATTGCGTGTAATGAGGTACTTTTCTCTGTTAGAGAGTACTGGATAGCATGTTGATCTTCCCAAAGTGCGGTATTGACGAAGTCACGTCATCTTTGCTCTATTTATAAACAATCAAGTTTTGCTTCTTTGAAGGTAGTTTTCCTTTTGTTCATTATCATCTTGACAACATGACTCATCAAAATATATCTGGGCAAATTATCAGGTTTACGGGCAACCTTATCATCAAAATCATCTGAATCCATGTATGATTCCGTATGAGTATTTTCCTTGGATGATAAATTGCAAATAAAACTTCATTGTCATTTTCGTCCAATTCTATATCGTAAACTTCTAGTAAAGTTCACTTGCACATGAATATATGTAAATATATTTTATAAAAATCACTATCAAACTTCATTAAAATATCTTTCTATCAACTGGATGTTAACTTATTTTGTTATAATACATGTAGAACATGAGGTAGCCTTTTAACACCACATTCATACAAAAATACAGATTACATATCATGAATGCCGAGTGGCAACTTCAGTTGCCACTATGTATGATTTAGCTTATATTGGCTTTAATGTTAATGCTTAATGCCATTTATGAATTTTGTCTAATTACTAGACTCCTAATCCATCATTTCAACACATAAAATTATAAAATATTGACTTACAAACAATTTTAACATAGCCTTTTCTGTGTGCTGGTTCAGGCCTGATCAAAAATACAGTGACCGCCTGTAGTTGAAAGGTCAACTGACTGAAGGGGGAGCAACCGAGGTGAACAATTCTTGTTCAGTAATCGCATGGAACATGTATGATGCAGTGTAGGACTATAAAACAGAAATTTACTCTATATTATGAATAATACAACCATTTTATTGAGGTGGCAACTAAAGTTGCCAATAGGCTCTAATTGGTTAAGAAGATTCGGGTACACGGGATTCTGTAATTGCCAGGGTTATGTATCTCATGTTTGTCAAACCGATTCATGTATATTATTTATGATAATCATATTAATTTACATAAATGATATGATATAAATCATATATTAATATGATCGCCAAAATTAAGTAGAACTTGCATTTAAAATACATAGAAATTAGCATCACTTCAACAGCAACTGTGATCTTTTACGCTATTGAGCAATAATAATATGAGGAAAATCTTTTTAAAGACGAACTTTTTCTTGAAAAACTCTTTGCACATTAATAAATGACGAACTTTTCCCGGCACTGTACAAGTTTGCCGTAAAGCTTCCTGTCCTGCAGCGGACACATGAGTCGACGCCTTCAGATTTCTTTTGGTCAAGAAGCCGAGCAAAAAAAAAAAAAAAAAAAAAAAACTGGAGCGATGAGCGTTATATTGAGTCTCCCTAATTAGTATCAGCAGCAAACAGGGCCATGTTGACCAACACTGCAAAGCTGCAGGTCAATCTCAGCGCCGCTACGGCATAGGCTTATGTCTAGACACGACACTTATCTTGGTGCGTGAGATCTGCACACAACACGTAGGCACGTGAAATGTACGGCTCTACAACGAGGCACGTGAAGTGTCCGCGTTCAACGTATCCGGGCACGTGAAGTGTGCGCAGTCTACAACAAGGCAAGTGAAGTGCTAGCGTTCTACAACGAGGCACGTGAAGTGCAAGCGCTCTACAACGAGGCACGTGAAGTGCAAGCGCTCTACAACGAGGCACGTGAAGAGCAAGCGCTCTACAACGTGGCACGTGAAGTGCAAGCGCTCTACAACGAGGCACGTGAAGTGCAAGCGCTCTACAACCAGGCACGTGAAGTGCAAGCGCTCTACAACCAGGCACGTGAAGTGTACGCGCTCTACAACGAAGCACGTGAAGTGCAAGCGCTCTACAACCAGGCACGTGAAGTGCAAGCGCTCTACAACCAGGCACGTGAGGTGTCCGCGTTCAACGTATCCGGGCACGTGAGGTGTCCGCACTCTACAAATACGTGAGTTGCTAGCATTACGTGCATGCAGCTTCGTGCATCTAAGCTTCGATCATTTATACGGCGTAAGCGTGCGTGCTCTCTATACATTGGGTGCATGAAGCGTGCGCACAATCTTCACGGGCACGCGAATTTTTCTTATTACCATTCATAATCTGTACGGACTGTATAATGCTGAATTAATTGTATATGTATCGATGCTGCCAAGCGGCCATTCCGGCTTTCACATGCATTCGAAAATGGGACTTCCAGGCAATGAATGAGCAACGTATAATCTAATATAATTTATTCGATGCGCTGGCGAGAATATCTCCTGCTACGATCATTATTTTGCGCTTATGCTCATATTTATACACATATATATATATCACCTTCCTAATTATTTTTCAATTCCAAGGATCACTATGGATCGTGATCACTAGATCACTAGAAGCATCGTGTAACGCTACGCTTCAGCACTTTAATCAAGCTCAGAGTGACTATTTTAAACATCATTTTAGTAAATTCTTTGTGCCATTCACAACAAACAAGTTGCAATTCAAATGTTGCACATGCAAGTGTCCAATTTTGACTGTTGCACCTTAACCTAAGTCGTGAAACATCATCGAAACTCTTTACGGAATCACAAAGTGCAACGTTTATACTCAATTATCACAATTGTTGTTTCTATTATTTCTACATTATTATTCAGCGTTCTCTATTACTCAAAAAAATCACATTTTCCCTTGAAAATGTCATTACTTCTTCAAAGAACGTATTGGTATTAAAGAAGAAGAGTTAAATTTTATGTTAAGTTATGCTATTAAATGAACCTGTTTACCGCAATTGCATTCAATTCTGCTCTTGTAAAATATCTTTACAGCGCCGGCAAGTAGAAACTCTTGCGAGTCCTTATAGCCTGGCCACGGGCTTTTATTGTAAGATAGAAGCAGCAATAACGAGGTGGCTTAGGCTCGGCGAAAAGACTTCAAATGACTGAAGAATTCTCCTCTTATTCTACATGGAAAAGAGATTAAAATTTGACATACACTGTATGTGAAAGTGAAAGACGTTTCCTACATATAAGACTTTTCGTTGCGTGATAATTATTCATATAAATAATATCATCATTTTGTATAGTATATAGTAGTATATAGTATAGTATATAGTATTTTTGTGAGTGAGATATATACCCAGATATGTTATATGTTAATTATTAGTAAATTAATTATGTTTTTCCCTGACTGTGACGAAGAGATAGGCATTAGCTCCCTATTTTAATCGTTAAATATAGGGCACATAA